TAAGTTCTTTATTATAAATTTAGTAGTTTAGTTTAAGTCTATAAAGTTTATAAGAGAAAAAAGTATATAAATAAAGTTATCTTTCTAAGTTTTATTAAAATAGTTATACTTTAAAAATATAATTTAAAAAGTTTAATTTTATTTTAAATTACTTAGTAAGATTTAATATTATTAGGATTAGTTTACTACTAATAAAATCCTTAATCTTCTAAAAAGCTATTTATTATAGTTCTTCTTATATAAAAAAAGTATCTTTATAGTTAAGGTTAATAAAAGCTATATTAATCTTATTATAGTTTTTAATAAATTTTTAATAGAAGTTAATAAAACCTAAAAATCCTTAGACTTCCTTAAAGTTCTTAAGTATTAGCTATTCTTTAATAACTTTAATCTTATTTTTTAATATTTAAACTTCTCTAGAAGTAATAATAAATCTAAAGTATTCTACTTTCTAAGTATAGAATTTACTTTTCTTAGGTTTAATAAAAAGCTTAGCTTTTTAAAAAGCTTATAAGATATAATAAATATCTTCTTTATATTACTTAAGTATTAATAAGAATATAAAGATATTATCTAAGTAGATAACTATATAAATATTAATATATTTATATAAAACTAAATTAATTATATTTTAGAATATTATAGAAGTATTAATAAAACTAAAAAGTATAATAAAATACTTAAAATATCCTTTATATATCTTAAAAGTAATTTTTTATTCTTCTTTTTACTTTATCCTAATTAAGTTATATATACTTTTAAAGTTAAGAGCTATAAACTAATTAGCTTTATAGAGAAATCTCTTTATTTTATTAATAAATAGTAATAAATAGTAATTTTTAATTATTATTTTATTAAATATATAATAGTTAATATATAATTATAGCTTTCTATTCTTTTTTAGTATAAATAAAATTAAACTTCTTATTAGTAAAGTTAAAAGTTAGATATAACCTTTTTTAAGGTTTTCTTTAAGGTATTTATCTAAAGCTTCTATTTCTATTAAGTTAAAACTATAGATTTTATTAAATTATAATTCTTTTCTTTCTTTAAGAGAGATTTTATAGTTAAAACTAATATATTCTAATAGTTTAGTTTCTAATTTAGTTATAAAAAGTTTCTTATAAACTCTATATTCTTCTAAGATAAATAGAAGTAGATTATTCTTAAGATCCTCTATTATTAATTATTATAATATAGCTTCTTTTACTTTAAAGTAGTAGATATATTATTTTATTATTTCTTATTATATTAATTTATTTAAAGCTTATATTCTATAAAGCTACTTAGTAACTAAACTATTATAATTTTACTAAAGTTAGCTTTTATTTTAATCTATCTATAGATTATTTATTTATAGCTAAAATAATCTTAGTACTATATTATATATCCTTATATTAGTAATATTAAATTAGATTCTTTCTTTTTAATTTAAATAACTTATTTTAAAAAGTATAATCTTATTATAAATAATACCTCTTTTATATTTAAATTCTTCTCCTTTTATTATATATAAAAAGTATAATTATTTTTTTTTTCTTTATTATACTTCTAGTTTATTAATAGTTTAAGAAGTAATAAAATTTACTTTAGTTTTACTATTAATTAGTATAAGTATTATTTATTTATTAATAATAATTTTAAGTTTTAAGTTCTTCTTATATCTTTATAATATCTAATAAATAGATCTTTTCCTTATTATTTATTATAATCTATTATTAATAAGTAAGTCTAGTTTTTTAATTACTCTAATTATCCTAAATAAGTGATTTATTTTCTTTCTTATACTACTTTAATAAAGCTATTCTTATAGATTCTAACCTATAGAGGTTTTAATTTATTTTTTATAATTCTCTATATATAAGCTTTATCTTAGTAATAGATTTAGTATTTATTATACTAATATTTATCCTATTTTATATTATTATTATACTAATATTTTATAAAGAACTATAGGCTTAATTAAAAAGTAATAATCCTTTTATTAAACGCTATTATTATCTATCTAATTATAATATATATAATATAAATATTTTTTATAAGTTTATTATTAAGTCTTTTAAAGTAGAATTAATAGTTATATTTATCTCCTATATATTCTTTATACTTATTATAAAAATATTAAGGCTAAAAAAAGGTTTAATATTATTAGTAATTACTTTATAAAGTAGAATAATCTTCTATATATAGCTAGAAAGTATAATCTTAGTCTTATTAATCTACTAAGATATTATAGAAATAATGCTATTATTTATCTTAAAGTATATTAATTTCTTAATACTTTAAAAGTTATTTAATTTTATTTTCTTAATTATTAGATTCTTTTTTAAAGTTAAAGTTATTTATATTAAAAGTAAAACTATAAGTAATCTCTACTTAAGTATATTATTAAGTAATATTATAAGGTTTATCTAAATTATAAAGTAAACTTTTATTTTCTCTAAAGATTTAGTTATTAGTTATACTAAGGAGTTATTATTCTATTAATAGATTATATTAATATTTTAGTTCTTTTTCTAATTTTTCTTATTAGTATAATTATATCTATTTATTATCCTCTTATTAAATTATTTCTATTTCCTTTTAGATTTATTATTCTTTATAATAGAGTTATTAAGAGGTCTTATATAAAATAACTAGCTTTAGTTATTAGATTTATAGTATTTTATTAAGTAGTTCTACTAATTTCTTAATAATTTTATTATTATTATAGTATATTATAGCTAAGGTTTTAAAATAAGTTCTTAAGATAGTTATATTATATTTAGTTTATCTAAAATTACTATCTCTTAAGTAATATCTTAATATTTCTTTATTTTTAAGATAAATTTAGTAATTATTATTATAGTATTTAGTTTATACTTAAAATATATATAAAGCTTTTATAATTATATTAACTTATTAAAGTTATTTAGCTATTAATTTCTAAAGAAGCTTTTTAGGTTACTTATAATCTTTAGTAATATATTTTTATCTATTATAATTATAATACTTAAAGTTTTAAGGTTTCTTATTATTAAGTTTAGTTATTATACTAAGGTCTATAAGTTTACTATATTATCTATAAGTAGTATTTTATTAGGTGTTATTCTAGTTATTATATAGTTTATTATTATTTTATTAGTTATTAAATTTATATTAAGGTTACTATTAATACTTATATTTAAAGTTAGCTCCTTATTATCTTTTACCTTTTTCTTTTTTTTATTTAAAAAGTTAATTATTAATCTTAATAGCTATACTAATATATTAAAGGAAATCTTTAGGTTTATTTAGTTTAACTATTTTATCTTTAATATTATTTTTAAATCCTTAATAGAATATAAAGATCTTAGTTTCTTTAATAAGGTCTAATTAAATACTAAGTTATCTAAAAGTAGTAGTATACTCTTTAGCTAACTTAGTTTATTATAACTAAGTAAGGTTATATTTAGTTTAGTATTTCTTATTTAGGTCTTAGAAAAAGAATTATAAAGTATCCTTAAATTTTTAAAAGCTACTATAGATATTATATATTTCTATAAAGTATTTATTTAAGGTTTTATACTTAAAGAATTCTTCTTAAATAAGTTTAAACTACTTAAAAGCTTATCTATAAAGGTAAGTAGCTATATAAATAACTTTCTCTATCTAATTAGTAAAATTACTATAATAGAAGTTATAATAAGTTTTAATCTAAATTAAGTATAGTTTAAGTTATTTAGAGGTATTATTATAAATAATAAAAATACTAAGTTTAAGTTTTTAATATTTTCTAATAGAGATAGTAATAATATTAGTAGTAGCTTAAAAAGTATTAAGTTCTCTTTAGAGTTCTTAAATCTTTTTAAAGTTAGTATCTCTATAAATACCTTTTTTTAGTTTCTTATAAGTTTCTCTAGTATTCTAAAGTTATTTATTTAAACTATTTATAGCTTATTTACTCTTATTAATAAAAATCTATATTTCTTTAGTTTTAACTTCTTATTTCTAAATAATATATTAAAGTTATTTATATCCTTTTTTAGTAAAAAAACTTTCTCTATTAGAGTTATACTTAAAGTCTAATATATTATAATCCTTAATATTAATAAGTTCTTATGTTAAACTTTAAAGCTAGTTATATAAAGAAAATAAGGATCCTAAAGTAGGAGATTTAATAGAAGTATAAGAAGATATCTTATTTATACTATTTAATAAATATTAATAGTTAACTTATTAAATAGAAGTAATTAAAGTGTTATAATTAGCTATCTAATAGTAAGGTTTACTAATAGAAGCTAAAGATTAATATATTCTAATAATATATTAAGTTATAATTAAAGTTAAAAGTTATAAGCTATAATAGATTAAATTTTTAGAGCTTTAAAGTAATTAATCTTAAGCTTAATAAGTAATTTATAGTAAAAGTAAACTAAAAGTATTTTAAGGATAAATATTAAGTTAATTATTAAAGAACTATAGAAGTCTAACTATAAATTAAGCTTAAAGTTATACTATATATAAGTTTTAAATAGTTCTTTTATCTAACTATTAATTCCTAACTTAATACTAATAAACGCTTAGTAATTACTAATAAATACTTAATAGTCCTTACTAAGTACTTAATAATCTATACTATCTACTTAGTCTTATCTTATTATTATATAACTTATACTATAGTTCTTCTATTTCTAAGTAAATCCCTATTATTCCTATAATATTATAGTATAAATATCCTATCCTAGCTACCTAACGCTTAAGGTAGGTCGACTAACTATTATCCTTGTTTATAGGTCGTAACATTGCACTTGCAGCAGCGTTAGTAGCTAGCGCAAGACGAATATTGTGATTTGAACGGTTTCTTTGATACCGGTGCAACAATGAGGAACACTGGGAGGAAGTCATGCACAAGTACCGAGAAACTTTTAGCTCTCTGCTGTAGGCGGAGGTAGGGGGCCTATGTTTGGCCAACTGCATAATGGGTCTGGCCGTAATCTGAGCGCAAACTGAAGGAATATGTGTTCATATCAACATACTTCTCAAATGCCGTTGTCGGCATCTCCCTCGACCAAAAACGGCCCAACACCCGGCATCAAAAAATCCGCAAACCCCAACTCCACCCCCTTCATCCTTAACATCGCATACACCAGCCCCAAATGGAACCCAAAAAACGGCACCGCATATTTCATCAAATACTCCTCCGCCGTCATCCTCAACTCATACCCTCCCAACCGGAACTCCACCACATCCCCCTCGTGCCCGTCAACATCCTCCGGCGCCACCGTGTCCAGCAGCGCAATCGTGCGCTCGCACCGCGCAATCAGCTTGTCCACCGTGTCCTCGTCGTCGGGCCACACGTCGACCGTGATCCCAGCCATGCGCGTCAGCGACTTCTTGGCGATGTTGGAGACGAGGAGGACGTGGCCTGGGAGGGGGAGCATGCCCTCGATGAGCGTGGCCTTGAGAATCTCGTCCGGGGAGGAGGGGAAGTGGAGGGCTGCTTTGGCGAGGATGCGGGAGAGGACGGTGAGGCCGGTTTTGAATTGGGGGATGGAGGCGTTGTAAAGGCTGATGGGGGCCATTGTTGTTCTGGGTGCTGTTGAGAGGGGTTTTCTAGAGAGGAATTGATGCTGCTTGATAAGAAGGACTGACGCCTCTGAGTGACAGTGGTGACATGCCATTTTATACGGGATATCCAGTGGAGTGATTGCTAATGAAGACCATGTCGGAGACCTATACCAACGAGATTGTCGCTCTGCATTGCCAATCAAAGCTTCACGGGATCTTTCACGGCCAAATATTCCGAGAACAAAATACCGCTCAATAGGGGGTATTCTGAGGGATATTCATGATCACATTACCAATCATCATCTTTTCAAATTTCAAGTCCCGTCTTTCTCATAAGTTTCTCCCTTGACGCAGACCGTTCCGGGCCTCGTACAAAACCTCAACCGATGATAAACTTCTAAGAAATAAACCAGGCCCTCTCATTTTTGTTCTCCCAGCTCGACAGCCCTTAAGACCGTACCCCTCACCCCTCTCCGCATCTCCTCAAGCCTTTTGACATAATCCAAGCTCGACTCCCTCGCCGTACGGGCAGTAAGTATCCCTGTTCCCGAAACATCGTACCCTGCGACGCAAACTCCAGCCCAAGGCTTCACTTCTCGATCTACATCCATCACCTCGGGGTCAACACCACCAAGCCTGCGCTGCGATATATGTCTGTCCACAAGAAGCCACCTCACAATCTCAGGGAATGGCTCTGCCAAGACCAAGGCATTCCTAAAGACAGGTTGCCTCTCGACAAGGGGAGCCGTGTACGAAATGCTGGCGCCGAGATGCACGAGCATCTTTACGAAGTCCATCCTTCCGAATGAGCACGCCACCATCAACGCAGATCCCTCAGACGCTCCTTCTTCATCAAGTTTTGCGCCGTATTCCAGGAGCACGCGGGCACGAGACAAGTCGTTCTCCACAACCGCGCGGCAGAGAGGAGTAAAGGGGTCTCCCGGAGAAAGATTGACCAAAGTCAGCCTCTCCTCCGTTGGAAGTCGTTTCAGTATCTTGGCGAGGCTCTCTGGCGCTCTTGTCTGGTTGAGTAGCTCAATCAGAGAGTTCTTGCCGCCCCCTCGAACGATGTTTGAAAGGTCAAAACCGAAATTCAAAACGAAGCTGGAAAGATGAACATTGCAGAGTGCGCGGTGGAGCGGCGTGATACTCTGCTGATCCGGTTCATACGGATCTAGCCCAACACCTAGCAGCCATTGCAAGACGGCCGGATTCTTGGACTTTGCACAAATACCCAGTAACCCCTTGCCATGTGCATCCCGCACGTGTATGCTGGCACCGTGACTGACGAGTACCTTCGCTGTATCAAGATTTCCTTCAGCAACGGCGACCATCAAAGGAGTAAAGCCATCTACGTCGCGAAGGCTGCAGTTGGCCCCAACCTGTAAAAGATATTCGACAGCCCCGACAAAGTTGTTCCTGGCCGCCTCGTGGAGTGGGGTTGTAGCGTTTCCATCGGACAGATCGGCGCCGTGTGTCACCAGTATCTGGATGATTTGCATGGATGACGATGATTTCGCCCTAATTGCCAGCAGAAGCGGGGAGTCGCCCTTTTGGAATTGCGGCGAGAACGCATCGGAGGAAATACGTTGATTGAAAAAATGGGAGAGAACCTTGTGCTCATTGTGCGCCCAGGCGCGGTCCGGGTTCGCTCGGTCAGTGATCCGAAACTGGCCGTCCGGCACCATGTCTTTGTATCTGAAAGAGTACATCTTCAGGTGCGCCAGAATAGCCAGCAATGCCGCATTTGCAGCCCCATTCCTGCAAGTGGCGGCATAGTGTATCGGACTTATCGGGTGTTGATACCAGTCGGTGTGAAGAAGGAGAAATTGGACAACTTCGTGTATGTGCCGCTTGGGAGATCTCTTCTCAGACAGGCGATGTACAGCCAGGTGTAAGACTGTGCATGGGTGAAAGCTCTCATGCGCAGATGAGGGCGGTGCGTGGAGGTGACGAGGACACTGCTTAGTGATGACTTCTGGTCTCATGCCATGTTGTAGAAGGCGAATACAGGTCCTGTAGCAGCCCGACCTGAGTGCGAACACGACAGGGGAGCATTCTCCACAGGACAACCTGATGTCGTTCAAGGCTGCAGGATCAAGATACTCCAAGACTCTTTCGCAGGTCTTCCATGCTGTCTTGTCTCCCTCTGTGATCAGCGCTTCAAGAATGGCCCCAGCTAGGTGGCCCCGGGGCGCCTGATGTTCGTCTGGTGTTTGTGTGAGACGAGGAAGAAGCGTCGTCAAGTAAGGGGCGAATAGCACAAGCAACACCCCGTAACCAATTTCAAGAGCACGCAAGAAAGGTTTCTCGATCGCCATCTTCGCCGAGCAAGGCTTCAGCAACAAGCGCACGGCCTCGGTATCGCCGGCCTCAACGGCGATCATGAGCGGTGTCCGGCCTTGGTAATCTTCTCTGGTAGGGTCCGCACCGTGTTCGATGAGTACTCGCATGCAGGATGTCCAGCCGCCGAGGGCGGCACAGTGGAGGGGCGTCCATCGCTCATGCAGCGTGGCTACATTGGTTGAGAGTCTGAGTTCCTTGATGTAAAAGTCCACAATAGCCTCGTGGCCGCCGATCGAGGCAATGTGTAGGGCGTTGAAAGTGTTTGAGATGATGGTACGCTTAGACCCGGCAACAGACTTTACCTCGAATTGGGAAGTACACGTTCTAGCCCAATAGATATCCGCATAATAAAAGTTCTTCAGGCATACGACAAGACGGAGGGACCCAACTGATACCGCTGTAAGTGCCGAGTCTCTACCGGATGTATCGGTAGCTGAAGGGTCTGCACCGTGTCTGAGAAGCGTCCTGGCACCATCGATCTGGTTGCCCGAGATGTAGTTCAGAACAATAGGGGTGCCACGGACTCCAACACCGGCATTTGGGTCGCATCCATAATCCAATAGGCAGGATAGCTTCTTATCTCGTGATGATACCAAGTCCTCCAACAGCCATTCTAACAAGCTGGTCCCTCCCTCTTCGACCTCATTGAGCCGTTCTACTTCCGCGTGAGATAGTATATTCTCGAACATCTCAAGATTGCAGCGAGATGTTTCTTCACCCTGGCACGCCACTTCAAGCGCCGAAGTACCATCTACCCTTTCATGGACAGAGATACCCGCCTTTAGAAGCTTAGGTACAAGGTCGCCTCTGCCTTGCTGTATGCAAGCCTTGAGCAACGTGATGGCTTCGGGGGAAGCCTTCAGAGAATCTTTGAAACCTGACGCCTTCAAGATACAGCCAAAGACATCCCCCATCCATGGCGGAACCTCCGAATGAGTTGGTAAGCCTTCAATCCAAGTGTAGAGGATGGGAAACAGGGCCGAACTTTGCGTGGAGGTTTCGTAGTCGGCTAGTGCCCACATCTTGACTAGAGCATTGAGTGCCGTCCGGATAGACGGTCCAGCATCCACCCCCTCTGGCCAGCGAGGGCTCCACTCGGCGATCACCGTCGTCACGAAGCGTTCCCAGAGGCCAGCCCCAGATGCATTACGCGAGACTAGAACATCTCGCGTGAGGAGACATTCGTACGCTGAAGCTTTGAGCGGCTCAGAGTACGCTGGGTGGTTCCGGGCTTTTTTCGAGAGACGCCCACCCTTTTCGAGATTGAAAGCGGCAAATATCGTTTCCGCTGGTGACAGTCCACGATTGTCTAGAGCCGGCGCTTTGCAACCTTTCTTGAGCGTCCGTACAAGCTCTGGCGTTGCAGATGCGTTCAAATAATGTAGCACAGACCGGCCGTGGTCATCAACAGCATTGGGGTCCGCACCAAACTCGAGCAGGCTTGACGCCAAAGGTTCAGAGCCCCATTCGGCTGCTAGAAATAGCAGAGGCTTCGGGCTGCGAAGATAAGCCGGGTCTTTCTTACACCACTTGAGGAGATGCAAGGCCCCGAATGGTGGTTTTGGTGACGACTTGGGACCTTTAATCATCTGCTTGAATGGGTAGATGATGCCTTGAGCAATTGGAGTCTGTCCCCCACGCATCCTTGCCCTTAGATTCTGATGCTGATTCTCGTCGTTCTCGAGAAGGCAATTGATCAGATCAATGTCGGAGTTCGCCGCCGCGACGTGCCAGATGTTTCTCCCGTCCTCGTCAATATCAGTCGTTTGTGCTCCATGACTTAGAAGAAGGTTGAAGACATCGGGAGATTCAGACAGCAACAATGGTGTTTGATTCCTTGAGTTCCGAACATGGACGTCCGATCCAGATTTCAGTATGAGATGGGTCAAAGCCAAGTCATCGGATTCCACCGCCCAATGTAAAATGGACGTTCCCTTATCCGGAACTTCGGGAGAATCACCGGTCGGTTGTAAAGACGGTATCTCCTTGTGTAGGAAGGCGTTTGGGTCCCAGCGCGGATCTTCGGTGAGCCTTCGAACAACGTCCACCTCACGATCCTGGACTGCCTCCCGAACGAGCGTAGTGTAAGCCTTGGGGGTCACGTCCAGAAGTGGGGAGGCTCGCTGGAGATATTCCGGTTCAAGATCGAAAAACCCAATCATTTCATATACACCCGTGGCTAGCATTGACATATCGTTGTAGCTGTCATAGTTGATGACGGCTCTGTCCAAAATTACCGGTAGAACACTACCGAGGAAATTATGATAGATCGGGGGGAATCGGATTGGCCAATTTTTCAATGTTGATCTCTCTGAGCGACTTGAGCGAAACAATGTCAGGAAACGGTCGTCCAAAAAAGAGACGTCGGGATTGTGGTCCATAATGTTGAGAAATTTCTCTGGTGACTGAAGAAAGTTGCACACAAGAAATGCCAAGGTAGCCAGAGACACAGACTCATCTTGACTTGGCCCAATGATGGAAGAATCAGTCCCTTTCAATGCGCCACCGGCATTCTGGAGAACGACAAGGGTCCCATTTTGATTGACCGGAGTGCGCATGTCTGCTAAGAGCTCCACTGGATCTGCCACGCGTCCGAGGAAAGCATTGGGACCAAGTAAAGCGCAGTAGAATGGTGTTCCCCAGGGGCTCCTCATTCGGACAGACTCCG